AACACTGAGGGTTGCGATCCGTTGCCGGACACGGAAAAATACAAAAAAAGACAAAAAAAAAAAAAAAAAGACTTTAATCTTCGATTCCTATAGGCCCCATGCTTTCTTTGGTCCATCTGCTTTAAGTAGTGTCCTGATGTCTTTGATAAGACAAGCATAGGTTTGCTTATAACTTTATCATAGAGATTCACTTGGGCTCCTGTCATTGGTTTTAGTTCTTTTTCCTCTTCCTTGCCCTTTCTAGCAATTATAACTAAGAACTTGGGTGACTGGGTGATTGGTATTTCTGGCAGTGATTTATGAAGGGTGTTTTTGTTTTCTACTTTTACCTTTATAACTTTCTACTCTTCTTTCAGATCAATACAGAATCCTTTTCTTCCTATCCTGTTTTCTCTCCTGTTTCTTTGGATTATAGCAGTGAAGTGAGTAAGGTTTTCTAATGTTTACTAATCACTATGTCCTCTATATGTGCCTTCATTTATTTCTGATTTCTCATGTACTTATCTCTCACCACTTCCTTGATGGCTCAACTGTGTGTATTTTGTTTTTATGTCCCTGCAGTGTTTGGTAGGGCTTTAATAAACATGGTAGCCAGTTAAGTCTGTTGAATTGATTCCTCAGTAGCCTCAGAAGGTTTTCCATATATCATATTTTTCTCTAATCTGTGTAGAGCTTATTTTAATACTAAGTTTTATTCTTAAATTTCCTCGTTAATTCTTTTATATCATATACAAGTTACTAGGAACGTAAGCATTATATTTTTATTGCTACCTTTATCTTGATTTTCTTACTGATTTTCATACTGTATGTTCAAAAAGATTTAGCATTTTTAAGCCTGTTTTAGTCTGGGGTAGGAGCAGGATTACAATATTGGAAGGGAAACACCTTAGTGATTTTTGGTTCACTTTCCTGATTTGAGGAGTTTGAGTTCCAGAGAGGTTGAGGAATTTGTCTAGGGCTAGTGAAAGACAAAGCTGAGACCAGACCTTGCCCTTCTGACTTCCAAACCAATGGTCTCTCTGTTATACAACGCTGCTTTGACGATATAGTAAATGATATTCTTCAAAGCACATAGTAAATTGCTTTTAATCCTTTTTTATTGTTGAAGTTGACTGTTAATTATATTATAAATCTGTAGTTATTTCAATCACTTTTGTTATCAGAATTTTGATTTTAGTTTGGTTTAAACATGTGCATAACTTCAAGACATAATTTTATGACTTGTATGAGACATTTTTAAGCATAAAACACTAAGAGTAAATACATACATGTATGCAACTTATTTTGTGTAAAATTACCACCTTTAGCTAGAACTAAAACCAATAGGTATAAGTTAACAGAGTGATGATATATTTTGGAAGAGCTTTTAGATGGAATTGGAATAGGCTACTTTATGAGGAATGAGCTCCCTGTCACTGAAAGTCCTCAGGTTGAGGTTGGTTGATGTGTAGAGTGTGAGTGTCCATGTGTGTCAAGGAAGATGTAAAGAAAATTTCTGTCTTGGGTGAGAAATTTGGCCAGTTGACCTCTCCTGTGTGATCCAACTCTAATTTTTCAGCAAGAACATTGGAATTAAGTGGTTATCAAAGGGTGGAACTTCTGGTGGCAGATAGTGCTGAGAAATCTCTAGAATTTTGACCTCAAGAACACAGACCCTGATTTTTTTGAATTCATCTTAATGCCTGGAGAATGGTAGTATTCTTGAAGATTCACTTCAGACTTAGACTTTCAACAGAGAATACCGGTGTATTAAATAGAAAACCTTCTACCCTACTTAGGATTTTAGTGACAGTGGTCACATCAAAGGGAACTTTTAGTTGCTTGATACATTAAGGCAATATGTTGAAGATAAAAGTTTTTATACTTTTGAATATTTGCTACAGGTGGAATAATTTTAGTTTTTCCTTAAAATCACTGTAGGATTTAAAGGAATAACAATATAAAATGTTATAAGAATATAGAATATTTCTTGTTAGTTCTCCGCTTATATTCTTAACTTAGAAACTAATGGAGGATGGATGCTAAGGTTTATTGGAAGAAGAAAATGTTGGGATAAGATACACAGAAGTAGAAGAAATTATGTACCATAAAAGTGTTTTCTTGAAAGGCTGCTTGGGCCGGCCCGGTGGCGCACTGCTACAGTGCGCTGCTTGGGAAGCGTGGCGGCGCTCCCGCCGAGGGTTCGGATCCCACATACAGACCGGCCGCTCACTGGCTGAGCGAGGTGCAGGTGCAACACCGAGGGTTGCGATCCCGTTGCCGGTCCCGGTCCGGTACGGGCGCGACACTGAGGGTTGCGATCCATTGCCGGTCACGAAAAAAGACAAAAAGACAAAAAAAAAGGAAAGGCTGCTAGAAGATGGCCTTTTCCCCTCTTCCTATTGACTTTGCCCCACAAGTGTTGGCATATTGCTGCATTTAATGGTTATGACTTTAAATACAGTTTCAGTTTCCTGAAAAGCAATTGAACCACTTGATATTTTGAAATAATACTGATTGCATATTTAAATGATAATATTTTGGAGGTATTGGGTTAAATAAAATGTTATTACAATTAAAATTTTTGAAAGGTGGTGGGTATCATCTTGCTTCATCCCATCCTTCTTAAGCCCTGGCTTGAATATTTTAAGAGAACTATTGAATTATTTCATAGCTTTGTATTTTAAACATTTTTAACTTTAATTGTGAAATAATTTCAGACTTATAAAACAATTGCAAAAATAATATAAAGAATTTCTATATACCCTTAATTCAGATTCTCCAAATATTAACCTCTAAACACAGTATAATGATCAAAATCAAGAAATAACATCAATCTAGTGTTATTACCCAACCTACAGACCTTATTCAAATTTCATCAGTAGTCCCAGTAATGCTCTTCTCCTGGTTCAGGATCAAATCCAGGATGAAACATTGCATTTATTGTCGTGTCTCTCTTAAGCCTCCTTTAATCTGAAACAGTTTCTCAGTCTTTGTTGTTCATGACCTTGACACTTTTTGAAGAGCACTACCAGTTAGTTTGTAAAATGTTTCTTAATTTGGGTTTATCTGATATTTTCTCATGATTAAATTCAGGTCATGCCTTTTTGGCAGGAACACCATAGAAATGATTTTGTGGCCCTTGTGCACCATGTCAGGAGGCACCTTGTTATTGACCTGTTCCGTTACTGGTGGTAATTAATTTTGATCACTTGTTTAAGATGGTCCCTGCCTGGTTTCTCTGCAGTGTTATGAACTATGCAAATATATTGGTTCTTATCATACTTTTGCCCCCTAATTTTAGCATTCATTGGTGATTTTTGCCCTGAAACAATTATTACCATGATATTTGCCAAACAGCAATTTTTTTATTTCCACATAGATTTATATTTTACAAGTACAGTCTCTATTTTGCTTTCTGGTTTGTTCTTACAAAATAGATGAAAAATATTGTACCTCTCAGACTCTCTAATCATCACTTTCATTTTGGGCTTTTCTTATTATAAAATGCTTTATTTATTCCATGTATAATAATCAGGCCCCATATACGAAATGAAGAGACATTGCCAGAATTATATTGCTAATTTGGAACCTTGTTGGGCACTCATGTTCTACTTTACTAAAGCCATTATTATATTCTCTGAATAGTAGACATTGTCACTTATCTACTATTCAGGGATCAATCTCTTTTTTTCCTCCTATTCTACCAAAAAGGAAGCCAAAGCATAAGAAAATTGTGACTTTAATTTTACAAGTTTGACCATCTTGTCTCCTGGAAGTTTGGTGTCTGGCTTTCTGTTGGCAGGAGAAATATCTTTCCTGAACGTCTTTCTTGTCTGTTCCAGAATGAGCCCTAGTCATAAAATGCTCATATCCTTTCCCTAAAACCCAGACACTCGCCTTTTTATCTGGTGAACTTGTCATCTGGGGAAGTCTTTAAGTTTTCTTATTGTCAGCAGAGAATCCTGACTTGGATGTTATGCCTTTTGTTCTCAGCCTGCCATGATGACTCAGGGCACTCAAGGAACTGTCCGACCAGCTGCCAACTTTGATGCCATGAGAGATGCAGAAATTCTCCGTAAAGCAATGAAGGGCTTTGGTAAGGAAAATGGATTTTTGTCTTTTATAAGAAGTTACAGTGATTGATTCTAAAGTAAAAATAAACCTTATATCATAAACCAAGTTTATGCTTCAGCTTGAGTGCACACAATTCAATTTAATCTGGTGCCTGCTGCCTTGCAAGCGTTCTAAGAGATGTTCTCTAGGAGCACCCAGCACAGACTTTGTCCTTACTTAAACACGTATGATTCTTCCAGGTACAGATGAGCAGGCAATTGTGGATGTTGTAGCCAACCGTTCCAATGATCAGAGGCAAAAAATTAAAGCAGCTTTTAAGACCATGTATGGCAAGGTATGTTTTTCTTTCTTTTCTGGAGTGAGTGCCAGCAGTAGCCTGTAGACTCTGCATCCATGTCAGATTGGCATGGTTGGCGTACTGTCTTTTTATTTTTATTGGTACCTGTGGTACAAAGGAGAGACAACTAGACTTTAGAGACCACAGGAGTGGTATATTCACTATTTATTTCTCTTAAAAGCCTTTTTCATTCTAGAGTAGTCCTTGATCTCATAGGAATACCTTATACTATGTTGTATGTGAGAGATGTGCAGTAGAAAGTAGATTGTGACCGCAATTGTGATCAAGAGCTTGGTTCTCAATCTTCTGCTTGCAGTGGGATTCAAGGCTTTTCATGTAGCCCCTGCTTGTTCTTGGTCCGTGGAATCATCTTCCACTTCTCTTCTTCCCTCTAAACATGTCCTGTATTAACATTTATGTGGCACTACTTGCCATTCTGTGCACATATCACGATCTTTTATATTTTTGTGTTTTGTATATGCTGTTATCCTGGCCTGGAACACCTTTTCCTCTTTTTCTACATGGCAAACAACTTCAAGATTTGCTTAAATATTGGCTACTCTGCGAAGTTTCCCTCATTGCTCTGGGCAGAATTTAGCTGCCTGTTCCACTGTGGTCCCATAGCACTTTGTAAAACCTCTGCTTTCACTGATCTCATTTCCCACGCCCAAAACTATGACCTCCCCCCAGTACAAATTATGTCATATTCATCTTTGTATGGATGGCAACAAGTGTACAATAACAAGTAGCTGCTTAATAAATATTTGTTGAGTAGATGATCAGTGACTAAATCCAGCAAGATCCTATGGCTTGAAAGTGCCATTGTCCTCACATTTAATGGGAAAACTGGGCAGCATTGCTTTGCCATTTAGATAAGAATACTAAAAATGTCCTAACATCCTCTGCATCCAGTTTATTTTATTTTATTTTGTTTTTAATTTTTATTGAATCATAATTGATTATACATATTTTTGGGATTCAATGTTGACATATGTGGATCAGATCAATATTACTAGTATGTATATTGTTACAAACTATACTTATTCTTTATACCCCTTGTCCAATCTCTCCCTGCCTCCCTCTCCCTCCCCCTCCCCCTCCCACTTCTGATAACCCTAGATTTCTTCTCTCCTTCTGAAAGAGTAATGGTTACTCTGTTGATTTGCTGCCTAGGTGATCTGTCCAATGCTGAGAGGTGTGATCAGGTTCCCCAATATTATCATAGAGCAGATGCTTCTTCTGTCACTCTGGAATGGGCTTTGTGGAGAGAGACATCCTCTTCTTTTCTTTAGTCTCTGCTGGTGACTCCCTGTGTCAATGCAGTCCAGTGGCTGGTGGACCATCTGTGTGGTGGTTGTGGTGTCTAGCCACTTTTGTGGCAGCTGAGGTTATTGTGGTGGTTGTGGTGGGCCACCCACACGGAGGTGATGTTTTTGGCATGTTCCTTGGCACTAGTGGTGTGCCTTGTTGGGAAGAGGGGTCCACTCCCCACGTCCGTGCCTCAGGCCTGCAGGCAGGCCCCGAGGTGCTGGTGGTGTGCCTGGGCCAGAACTAATGTTTTGTCCTTTGCTTACTTCTTTTTTTTTTGGTCTTTTTTCTGTGTCCGGCAATGGATCGCAACCCTCAGTGTCGCCTCCGTACCGGACCGGGACCGGCAACAGGATCGCAGCCCTCGGCGCTGGTCCCGCGCCTCGCTCAGCCAGTGAGCGGGAACCGGTCTGTATGTGGGGGCCGAACCCTCGGTGGGAGCGCCGCCGCGCTTCCCAAGCGGCGCACTATAGCAGTGCGCCACCGGGCCGGCCCTTACTTCTAAAATGGAGGAACTTCCTGTGGGAACCAGTACTTGAGCTCTGTGGTTGAGCTAAATTCCTGCTTTGCTG